CATCTTATATCTCGCAGATTAGCGATAATACTGGTTACAAAGGACATTTTCTCTGCGTCGAGGCGTTCGATCGAGCCATGGAGAATAAAGAGGTCTATCCAAACCCACAGAAAGACATGAAAATCCTCGATGCCGGAGCGGGTACCGGAGGAATTGGTGAGATGCTGAAAGCCCGAGGTTATACCAACATTGACGCTTTGGACATTTCACAAGAAATGCTGAATCTTGCGGCAGCCAAGAACCTTTACAAGAACCTCATCTGTGCTCCGTTGAAGGATACGCACATGGAGGAGATTGAGACCGCTGAATATGATACTGTGCTGTGCGCAGGCACCATCGTATATGGACAAGTGAAACCTGGGGCAATTGAGCAATGTGCACGATTTGTTAAACCTGGTATGTTATCATTTAGAGAAAGGTTTTTAAATTTAATTTGATCCATTTTTATAGAATATGCTTTGACGTTAATAACGACCACAGCCTTACGTATTGAAGTTTCTAAACTCTTATGGGCACCCTTTGAGCTCTGGGGACACATTCCAGACACTGTCGGGACACCTTTGAGACATCTTCGGAAAATCCTACGAGACATCCTTAAGACGCTCTCAGAGCACCCTACGGAGCTCCCAAAGGACACTCTCGGGACCTCCTCGGGATGAACACTGGGGTCCGATTTTTCCCGTTTGTATAAATATATCATTAGAGTGATTTAGCACCGCGTTTACGTGAAATGGCAAACGTCAGCTTGCCCTTTTACGTTTGACATAAAATAGCGTGAACCATGCTGCTTTAACTTCGCGTGAGCTCACGTCATGGGGGATTTAAAGGCGCCTTATATGACTTACAAGGAATAGTTTTGGTGCCCTTTTTCCGGCAATGAACTTTTCAATCTGTGAGAGGAAAGGTGAAGAAAATCTTACTTACACGGCAAACGCGAAGCAGGTAACTTTCACGTAGAAACGGCAAAGTTCAACCGGGAAACGTGAAAAAGTGGCGGGAAAGACAAGGTCACGTGGTCGCTCTTCCCGTTCACGTTTCTCGTAAACGTGGTGCTAAATCTCTCTATTATGACAGTTTTCGGGGAGTTTGTTTGTTATGCAAAGGTACCACAGAGCAATTTTCAACTGAGTGACGAAAGGATTTCGGTATTGCTGTGGTTTTAATTAACTTTGCTCTGTGATAGGTCCAGAAAACTCGTGCCACCCTCTTAACCAATCAGATGCAAAAGAATCGCGCCTTGTTCGGGCACGTTTTCCCGCGCTTTCGGCAGTTTGGTTGTTTTTACTTTAAGTTCTCATCCTTTCCTTTCTTCTGATTGGCCGTTGTGCTGTGACATTTGACTGAAAAGTACTCTATATTGCGTTGCCTGTCTTTTATTTCAAAACTACGGTAAAGTTTAGGTACTTTCGACGTACGAGGATAATGAATTTCCTCGGAGGAAAAGGGAAAGTTGAAACACCAGTAGAACTAGATGTTTTTGTGCAATTTCAGGAGGTCTGTTTATTTTCTCCATCCGCGTGGATTCTTTCGATCCAGTGGGTTTGGGTTTCAGTGAAAAATGCCAAGAACTGGAAAAAAGTGGCAAATGGAGTCTGGTGTGGAAAGAGAAGCGCGAGTTACATGCCACACCCAACGAGGAGCGACTTCGGTACTGCTATCTTATCACTTACAAGATCTTAAAATAAACTGCAAGAATATCTGGAGACAAGGAACTATCATCTTACACCACAGAAGTTTATTATGTTATTTAGTGTAGGACAGCCAGACGTCGAAGTTCGATCAATACTTCTGGACCTTTTCAGAAATCAATCTGAAATCGTTTCTAAACTGATCGATTTTCAAATCAGCTCCTCAAGTATCGGACTTGTGTTTTGTGTAGTTTTGCCCTAAGTCATTTTATACTTTGTACCATACTTTCAACCGCTCGACTAGAAATGCTAAGGTATTAAAAGATTGGTGTGACTGTGTATTGTAGTTTTGTCCTATGTCATGTTGTAACTCGTGCCCTATTTTCAAAAGAATGACCAGAAATGCAAAGGTATAAAAGGGAACTAAATATTTGTCGTATTCTGTTGTTCCTCGTTGGCTAATTTCAGTCTTGTTACTTTATAACTTAACTTTTATTTCTATAGCGCTCTTATCCTATGTTCAAGGCGCTTTACAACACTATGCGGGGGACTTTACCAGACTGCCAGTGGCAGTTTACAATCAACAAAGGCGAATATTACAGATGTCCCCTCCCCCTAATTCCCAGTAAACAGACCAGACCACAGATTGCTGCGTGAAGTCAGGTCTAATTACTCTCTGGATATCGCCCGATGTTGACTGCTAATAAAAGAGTAAGGTTTCGAGAATGAGGGAAATGACCGCCTACTAAAAAAGCTCTTGTTTGTTGGAAATTTATTGGAATTTTTCGGTGAACATTCCACAAAGTAACACTTCTTGTCCGCTTTTTCCATGTCGAATTAAAATTTGGAATGTTGATTTTTATGGAGAGAGGAAAACCGGAGGACCCGAAGAAAGATTCTCTAAGCGAGGATAAGAACCCACAAAAAACTGAACTCGTATGAGATGCTAGGTCCGGGAATCAATCCCAAGCAATAGTGGTGGGAAGTGAGCACTATCACAACTTCGCCATTCCTACTCCTGCAATTTTCCACCCTTTATTACCCCTGAGAAACTATGTGATCCTCCAAAATCCCATCCCTGCGAGAGTGGGACTGGGAAGCGAAGAGTCCTCGCAAAGGAGCAGGGTTGGAGTAGTGGTGAGAACGCTCGCCTTCCACCAATGTGTCCCGGGTTCGATTCCCGGACCCGGCGTCATAAGTGGATTGAGTTTGTTAATTCTCTACTCTGCTCCGAGAGGTTTTTCTCCGGGTACTCCGGTTTTCCTCTCTCCTCAAAAACCATCATTTGAATTTATTTAGTTTAGAGTTTATTTGCTTTTGCACACGACCCCACAAGCTGTTCAGCTTTAAACATTATCGTGTCTAAATAAAGGTGTTATTATTATTATATTATGACCTACCTTGGGCTCGCCAGCTCTACCTGCGCGGACTTCACGAGAGGCGTATGCGATGTTTGTACAGCATTGCCAATGGTAGCGCTGACTCTGACCCTGACCCTGTTCAAGACGTCTTGTAGTTAAACTGTATACTTTGTTCTAAATTCTAGACCCTAAAAGCATACACTGTTGGGCGGCATATCCATTTTGGTCAATAGCCATTCGCTCTGAAGCCCGCTCCAGGCAATCAGTTAACAAAATGGAGTAAAATAGCGAACAGTGCGATAGTAACGGAGTTAAAAGGCGAGGGAGGTATGGATCGGGTCATTACCGATCCAAATGAGGCTTCCCTCATTTTTACACTCTTCTTCTACAATAGCGTAACCTCATTTCCTGGGTCTCGTATCTTCCCGCCCTCTCTCGCTCCAGGGGACGGGAAGATAAAGGAGACCCTGGGAACGAGGTTGGCAATAGCGCTGGTTGTTATCGCGCCTTTGTATTACTAATATAAATTTTCCTTAAGATTGCTGAAACCCGATTGAGAATGACAGCTCTATCTAGTTAAAACCTACAAACACTCCAGAAAAAAAATTACAATTTTGTAGATCGACATCATTTATTATCAAAAATATAAAAATCTTTCAGCTTTGTTACAGATCTCTGATTTTTTCAGAATGATATAACATATTTACAATTCCAATGTTAATATTTTCATTTAACAATTAAAAGACACAGACAACTGTGTCTGTCAAATGTTACTCGATCGTCACACAAAGTTCAACTGCAATTACGTGACAAGCAAATAACAGTTGCCGTTGAAGGACCCTATCAACGATAAATAAACTCGTTATTTTAAATTCAAGCAATCCTCATATAGTACAATAAAAACTTAGAAAAATCGTCCAAACGATTAAAATGGCAGATGATTCTTCAGCTTTAATCAATGAAACAGTTTTAAGATTTATGTTAAAGAAAGCCTTAGGAACTTTTCCACAAGAGTCAAATAGAAACTTTACAAAAAACAATTTTCCCTTAGCTAGTGCACTTGTCATGGGGAAAATCTCTTGTGTGAACACAACTTAAGTACTTGTTCGGTTAAATTGTCCTTCATGAGCCCTTGGTAATGTAAAATATATCTACGCCCTTTCACTGTCAAGTTCTAGATAT